TTCTTTCTCTCTTTTTTTTAAATCCCTGAGGTGGGTGGGTGGGGAGTGTGTAGAGTAGAGGTTTTGTTTTCTAATAAACCAGTAAGTGCTTGATTTTTAATGTTTTATTTGTGTTTGAACAGAATATGTACTCTTGGTTTCAGCATATGGTATTTTTAATAGGCTTGCTACAGATTATCTGACAATATTTGGCACATGGAAATTCATAATTAAATTGTAATTTTAGGGCCTCCCCGGTGGCGCAGCGGTTGAGCGCTAGGTTGCGAAGCTGCGCGCGGCCTCTGCGGCGCCGGTTCGATCCCCGGCTGCTCCCCGGCCACCGGAGGAGGGTCCCACATGGCGCGCAGACCTCTCCTGCCGCCCGCTGCTCCCCTCAGCAGTGTACTTCGGTCCTTCTGCCTGCTCTGCTCCCTGCTCTGGCTCTGGTGAATTCTCTCGCCCTCCCGCGCTTCTGACTGTACCCAGTGCATGTATAAACAAAACAAACAAAGAAACCAGCAAACAAATAAATAAAGCATGCCTCTATAAAAAAAAAAATAAATAAATAAATAAATTGTAATTTTAAACTATATTATTCATCATATAAGACACTTGTCCTATTAATTGTTTTTTCTCTATGCTTTCCTTTATCTAAAAAATAAAATTGCAATCCTTGATTTCTTTTTGGTTATAGTTGCTTTATATATATATATTTATATATATATATTTACTTAGTGTACGTGTGTGTGTACACACACAGGACTTTACCAAAGCCTTTTATCTTATAACATCTCCTTTACTGAATTTGTTTTGATTAATCTCTTAATTGCATTACTCTCTTTAAGTAGATTTTCCAGTAATGATATAAAGATGACATACTCTTTTAGTGCCTAGCATACGATACCTTTTTTTATATACAATGCCGAATCTTTTGGGTATAGAGCCAACTTTGGGAGTATAATGCCAACTTTGTATAGCATTCTTAGAATATGCCCCTTTACCCTAAATAATCATAGGTATTACTCATTACTGCTTATCATCTGATATCACAAAGAAGTTTGAGGCCAGCCTGATTTGGGTTTTGTCTTATTTTTTGGCATATTTCATTTGTCTAAATTTTTATATTCTTGAAATTTATTTCTTCACCAATATTATGCTTTAGTGTTGGTAGTCAGTTTCTACTAAAGTTATCTAGTACTTGATGAACCCTTTCAAGTTAAAATTTCCTTCCGTTCAGGATTAGAGTTTAATTTCGCTTCCATTATTTTCTTTTCATAATCTACTAATTAAACTATTGAATCCTTATTGCCTGTATCTTTTCCTTTGTTCTCACCTTATCTCTTTATCCTATATATTATCTACACACTGTATGATTTTTCTCTTAATTTTGTTTTTGCCCCTTCCAGATTGTTTTCTACAGGTTCTTTGCTCCTCATTGCTTTTCACACCATTTAAAATAATACAATAAATTTCTTTCCTTAGTCTGTTAATATTTTTTATATTCTATCTTGTCTTATTTTTCACTCACATTTATTTGTACAGTTCTGGAGGTCACAAGTCCAAAATCAGTTTTCCTAGGCTGAAATCAAGATGCTAGCAGGAATGTGCTCACTCAGAGACTATAATAAGGGACGAATTTGTTCCTTGCTTTTTTCCACCTTCCTGTGGCTGTCAGCATTTCTTGGATTGTAGCCACATCACTCAAACCTTCCAGGCCAACATTTCAAATTTCTGCACTGTCTTCACATTACCTGCTCATATTAATGTATCAAATCTTCCTGTTTGCCTCTTTTTTATAAGGACACTTGTGATTGCATTTAGAGGTTTTGGGATAATACAAGGTAATCTCTATCAAGATTCTTAATCACATTAGCAAAGATCCGTTTTCCAAAAAGGTAACATTTACAGGATTAGAACTTGATTGGTATCTTTGGAAGTGATTATTTAGCATCTTATATTCCTAAATCATTTTGTTATTTCAGAATGAGGCTACTAATTAGCAAAAATCAGGTTAGGTAAATCTTCATGCAATATATGCTATTAAAATCATAGATAGTATTCTTTTTAGAAATGGTGCAAACACAGATGCCATGGTGGAAAAGTGATTAAATGATCTGGATATGGTTAATAATGGCTGGTGGGGACACTGGCACGCTTGCTTTTCGTGAGGAGCGGCTAACAATTTAGGTGAAGATTAAATTCAGGCTACCGGTTTGCACTCCTACTTGGTAGCTGCTTTTTTCTGTTTTCATTCCTTATTGGTTGATTTTTCTACAATAAAATGATCTTGTTTATTTCTTGTAATCTTTCATATTGGTATTGAGAACAAGAGTTTTTATTTTATTTTTTTAAAGATTTATTTATTTATGCATCCGAGAAGTGGGTTACAGGCCAGAGGTGCGGGGTGTGAGAGGATTCACCAGAGACAGAGTGGGGAACAGAACCCCAGATTGACTGAAATACATTCCTGAGAGGAGCAGTAGGTGAGACAGGAGAGGTCTGCTGTGCCATGTGGGTAGCTCCCTGGCCACTGGGGATCGAACTTGTGCTGCAGAGGCTGTGGACAGCTTCATAGTGCTGTGCTTAACTCCTTGTGCTACCAGGGAGGCTCGATAATAAGAGTTTTTAGATGGGAATTCATTGGCATGATTTTAGACTAAAGTATTAATATACTAAAGACATTTATCTAGATTGTAGAACTTAACCTCTTATACCTTTTTTAGGACAAAGTAATTCTTAGAAAAATCAAAGTTGCATATTTATCAATGAGGAAAGGTAGACATTAAGCTAAGGAACTTGTCATGTTACATAAATCTCTAACTTATAATTTTAACTTATGAAAAGTATTTCCATGTTTGTTTGTTTTAATGTTCCTTAAGATACTTTTTTGTTGATGTGGGGGTTTTAAAATACATAAAAAGAGTGTCCCCCAATACTAAATTGGATAGTTGGTTAATATTCTAAGTTCTTTTCCTTTATATATTTGGGATTTTTAAGAAGCAGGTTACTTCTTTTTCTATAATGTTATTAAAGAGTTACACAAATGACAAGTCATAGTGTTGAACTTATTATTTTTGAGGAAGGGAGCATGCCAGGTAGTAGGTACTATAAGAAAGCCTTTATGGTTGAGTAAAGAATGCGGGAGGAGGGCCATTAGAAGTAATACAACTCTGGTGAAGGTAGGTAGGGGTCTAACCACTCACAGCCTTCAAGTGAACCCTTCAAGTTCTTTGTCTCCTCAAACAGGGGAAAGCCATAGAATGACCTTAGTACAAAAGTAATATGGTGATATTTGTCTTTTACTTAGGCTGCAGTTAGAATAAGTTGCAAGGAAACCAGCATACATGTGAAGAGACAAGATAGGAGGCTGGTATAGAGTAATGCAGTGAGAGATGGTGATAACTTAAAGACTAAGGTGTTGGGCAAAAAATGTGAATGAATTTGAGACTATTTAATAAGTGTAATCCATGGGTCTTGATGATGGACTAATGGAAAATGAAATGGAAAGCGATGTCTAAGATATGCCCTTGTTTTTTATTCACTTTGATGCATGATGGTGCCATCACTAGCAAAAGCTGTAGGTATGTGAAAGAGTGCCTAGGGAAATGGCATAGACTGAGAAGAGGGCCTCCATCTAAGCTTTGCATGTCAGTATTTAAAGGCTTGGGAGATGAAGTTGGGCTGCAAAGGAGATAAGGATAGAAAAAGGAGGGTAGAGGGAAAGCTGGGAATGTAGATTCTTGAACAGCCAATGGGAAGAGTGTTTGAAGAGGGAGTGTTGTGTTGAATGCTGTTGTGAGCAATCAGAAATGAAAGATAAAAATGACAATTGAATGAGACAACTGGGAGGAGCTTGTTTTGATGGAATGACCAGAAAATAGTTTGGCGTATCAACATTTTTTTTCTTGAAGAAGTTGTTAAACTATAAAGGAATGAAAGGCAGATGGGTAGCTAGAGAGAACAGTCGGTCACATAAAGGCTTACTTTTAATGTGTGACTTTTTACTGTCTTTAAAAATTGTACTCTAGTGGAATACAAAGGAGAAGAAAAAGATAATAGTGTAAGGTTCCTGAGAATATATCTAAGTTGTATAGATTCCTTTGAAGCATGGGCTCCAAAGTTCTAGTGAATTTTCTTAAGTGAGAGGACGATGAGTCTTCTATTATATCAGAAAGGTAAGAGGATAGGGTAAGTAAAGATGTGGACGAGTTTGTATTTTTGGAATCAGTAAGATGAGGGAAACAACCTTTAGGTGATTTCATTTATTGGAATGAGTTTTCCAGTGGCCTCCAATTGACTTTTTATTGCCTCTGTTGAAATTCTTAGTAATTGTTTTTCATTTCCATGAACATCCTTTCACAATGCCTTTTTGTATTGATAGCCTATTGTTTTATTTTTCTTTCTTTTTTTTTTTTTCCAACACTCAATATTTATTTCTGTTCTAGACATGAACCTGATGGCAAGGCCACGCACATTAAACATACCCTTTCCCCAAATCAAAGAACTTGAATTCTGGGTCCTCTAAAACCAAACAGCTGAAAGGATACCATTGCCCTTTGCAAATAACAACTGGAGCATCTTATACTTACTTTTTTTCCAAGTCTGCTACATGGCAATCCACTAATTTATTTATTCTGTCCATTATTGACTAATATATGGAGGCATTTATAAATTAACAGAACTTAACCCAAGAGAAGCTCTCAATTTTTTTTTCCATTTTAATACTGAGTCAAATTGTGGTCAAAAATTATGTCAGCAATTTAAAACAAGCGCCTCCCCTGGTGGCTCAGGCGGTTGAGCGTCACACTGTGAAGCTTCCGCATCCTCTGCAGTGCCAGTTCTATCCCGCCGGCCAGCAAGGGTCCCAAATGGTGCGGCAGACCCCTCCTGTCTCGCCCGCTGCTCCCCTCAGCAGTGTATTCCGTCGGTCTGCCTGTTCTATTCCCCGCTGTGACTCTGGTGAAGCCTCTCACCCTCCCATGCATCTGGCCTGTACCCCAGTTCTTGTATAAATAAATAAATAAATCTTTAAAAAAAAACCCAACAATTTAAAACAAATGCTTGGTATTAGTCTACATTCAATTCAGTTTTTGGTGTAAGAAAGGTCTTTGGTTGCTAGAAAGAACATTTGGTTTACTTCACTAATAGGAATATCTCTTAGTGCTGGGATGGCCTCTTCTTGGTATTTCTTCTGCTGTTGATTTTTAGCATAGTTATCTGTGATTGTATGAATGGAGTTGAGTGGAGAGGTACTCATCATGTTTACTCCAAATAAGGGGAGTAGCCGATGACAGTAGTAATGAGGAGGTAGACAGGCAAGGCCACCGCCCAGTACTTTTGAGGCCAATACGTTAAGCCTAAGGAGTTTAGCCAAGATTCAGGAATGAAAGCCCATACAAGATAGAGAATGAAGCCAAACTGGGAGCTTAAGAAAAGGACAAAGCCATAAATTGCTCTTTCTGGCAATGGCGACGGTGAGTTTTCCACCATTTTCCTCGAGGCTTGAGACACTTCGAGTCTGGGTGGGGGAGACCCTCGGCCTCGGGCTCTTCTTGCGCCCCCTTCCGACAGCTCCACCACCTCAGCGCGGGGTCCAAGTGCACGCGCCGACCAGGGAGCCGCATTGGGGCCTATTGTTTTATTTTTCATTGTCATATCTTGATCAGGTAGTTTCTAGTTTAGATCTAAAGACTACTGAATGCCACCTCCTTTTACTTCTGAATCTTTAAATACATGTCCTTTTTGTCCCTTAAATATATACGTGTATTTAATCTTTATTTTTTTACTTATCCAGTGCTATAGTTTAAAAAACTTTTTTTATATTGAAGTAACATTGATTTATTAACATTTACATTATATAGGTTTTGGGCCTACAGCATTATAAATCCACATCTCTTTATATTGCACTAGGTTCACCACTGAAAGTCTAGTTTACATCCTTCACCATATGACCCCTCTTACTGTATTTATCGGCCCCACTTCCTCCTCCTTCTGGTAACCACTATTTTGCTATTACAGTCCAAGAATTTGTTTCTGTTTTATTTTGGTCATTAGTTTTATTTATTTCCCTCTATGATTGAAATCATATAGTGTTTGTCTTTCTCCTCCTTATTTCACATAGCATAATAACTTCTAGGACCATCCGTGTATGGCAAATAACAGGATCTCATGTTTTTTTATATCTGAGTAGTATTCCATTATGTATATATGCCACAGCTTCTTTATCCAGTTATCCTATTGATTGGGCACTTCAGTTGTTTCCAACTCTTAGCTATTGTGAATGATGCTGTAATGGGGAAGCATCTGTCTCTTTGATTTAGTGTTTTTGTATTTAGGTAAATACTAAAAAGTGGGATCTGGTTCATGTGGATTTTTTTTTTAATTTTTTGAGGACCCTCCACAGTTTTCCACAATGACTGCACCAGCTTACATTCCCATTGTCAGTGTACAGAGGCTACCCTCTCTCCATCTCCTCTTTAGCACTTGTCTTTTGTATAGGAGCCATTCTTACAGATGTGAGGTAACATCTCACTGTTGTTTTAATGTGCATATCCCTAATAATAAAAGATAATGAACATCCTTTTGTGCCTTTTGGCCATCTTTAGATCTCCTTTGGAGAAGTGTATTCAGATCCCATGCCCATTTTTTGATCATGTTATTATTTGTTGTTGAGTTGTAGGAGTTATTTATAGATTTTTGATATTAACCCTTTGTTGGATGTATGATTTGTAAGTATCTTCTCCCTTTCAATAGAATGCTTTTTCATATTGATGATAGTTCCTTGCACTGTTAGTTTGATGTAGTCTCATTTGGTTTTGCTTTGGTTTCCCTTGCCAGTGGAGGCAAATTTCCAAAGACAGCTCTAAGGCTGATATCAAGGAGCATATCCTGTATTTCTCATAATTGTATGTTATAGTTTCAGTTCATACATTTAAGTCACTAGTCCATTTTGAATTAATTTTGTGTATAATGTTAGTTATCTCATTTCATTGATTTGCATGTTGTAATTCAGTTTTCCCAGCATCATTTATTGAAGAGGCTTTTCTTGCTCCAATGTATGTTCTTGGCTCCTTTGTCATAAATTAGCTATCCAGATAGGTGTGGATTTATCCTTGGGTTCTCATGTCTGTTCCATTGATCTATGTTTCTGTTTTTATTATATCATGTTTCTTGAGGATTATCACTTTGTTGTATAGGGTGAAGTCAAAGAGCACAATACCTCTACTTTTGTAGAGGTATTGTTTTGACTATTTGTAATTCCAAATAAATTTTTCAGTTTTTTTCCCTATTTATGTCAAGTGTCCTGTTGGAATTTTGACAGGGATTACATTAAGTCTGTATATTGATTACTTTAGTTAATATGGCCATTTAGCAATGGTAATTTGTCTAATCCAAGAGCATGGATTATCTTTCCATCTCTGTGTCTTCTGTTTCTTTTAACAATGTCTTATTGTTTTCACTGCACAAGTCTTTCAGTGTCATGGTTAAATTTATTCCTAGGTATTTAAATATTTTTGATGCAGTTGTAAATGGACATTTCCTCTTATTTTTCTTTGTTTTTGTATTTTACTTGGTCTGAGTACTTGAGATTGTCTTTGCCAGAAATTGCAATTGAAAGTTCAGGTTTGGGCCTCCTTGGTGGTGCAAAGGGTTTAGCACCGCACTATGAAGCAATACACGGCCTCTGCAGCATGAGTTCGATCCCTAGCCAGCCAGGGAGAAACCTACTTGGCTCAGGAGACCTCTCCTGACTCACCCACTGCTCCCCTCAGCAGTGTACTTCAGTCAATCTGCCTGTTCTCTTCCCTACTCTGTCTCTGGTGAATCCTCTCACCCCCTGCATCTCTGGCCTGCACCCCAGCTCTTGTATGCATAAATACATAAATCTTTAAAAAAAAAAAAATGTTCGCAATATTTAAAAAAAAAGTTCAGGTTATTCTCATTCTTTTTTTCTTTTTCCTTGACTTAACTGTCCTTCCTCTCTTTTTCCTTTTGTCATTTATCTTTGGCAGCGTAGAAACATTAGATAGAGTAGGTAGAGAAAACATGGCACTAAAGGAAGCTTCAACTTTATTCTGCAATAATGCCCTCTACCTGTCTGCCTTGTATTTTCTTTATAAAACTTGTTTTTAAATTTATAATACTTTATTTACAAGTACATAGGGTATTTTGTTTAAGAGAATTGGAGTGCCAGTCCAGGTCCTAATCCTAGGTCCTACCTAGTCTCAGCCTTACTGCTGAGACTACCTTGTGAACTTAAGCAGACCATTCTATTTCATTGCGCCATATTTGTAAAATGGGTTTAGACAGATCATTTCTCCATTTTGGTTCTGATTAATTAAACAAAATATCAAAATCAGATTGTAAATATAAATGTAATAATTTTAAAAGTTAATGATCAATTGAGAAATTTCAGACTCCAAATGTGAGAAAGATTACCCAAAGATAACCTTTTTTTCCCCTCTCAAATTGCTGTTTTGTTCATATACTTATTTACCATTACCATAGATAACTTGAGATGTCTGCCTTGGATTACAAAATAAAGTTTGTGAATTATTAGTCTTATAGCTTGGGAAGTTAAAAGTATTTTGTGTACTTAATTTATCCTTTGCAGAGATATGGCTTCAAGAACTCTGGTTTTTTCCACTGAATCCCAACTTGCAGTATATTGCTTAATATCCTATTATTCAATAAATATGCAATCTAGAGTTCAGCTGACTATTTGTCCTCATGTTTGACAAATACTATTCATATATAAACATCAGTGGACAATGTAGAATATGCTAAAGATATGGTGGTAGTAGTTTACATCCTACTGCAGATAACTTCAATGGGGCCTTATTATACTTTGCTTCTTGCTGTGAACTACTGTTCCATTTTTTTTCCCCTTCTTATGCCAAGAAGCTACATCTCTCTTGCTATATATATTTTTTCCCCAACTGGGCTTCTCTCCCCATTCCCCCAAAATCTTTGGTTTTCTGATTTTTTTAAAGGAAATTTTTTTTTATGACTTTTTTTTTTTTTTTAGATTTATTTATTTATTTATACAGTCAGAAGCGCGGGAGGGTGAGAGAATTCACCAGAGCCAGAGAAGGGAGCAGAACACGCAGAAGGACTGAAGTACACTGCTGAGGGGAGCAGCGGGCGGCAGGAGAGGTCTGCGCACCTTGTGGGACCCTCGCCCGGTGGCTGGGGATCTAACTGGTGCTGCAGAGGCTGCGGGCAGCTTCGCAACCCAGGGCTCAACCGCTGTGCCACCGGGGAGGCCCTGGTTTTCTGATTTTTCATGCAGACCTATTCCAGGTTTTCCTCCCCAATTTTAGGGCCAAACCTATCTCTTTGTTCATCAAACACAAGTATGCCCATTGGCAGCATCTACTGTCCTTTATATGCCTGTTAAGCGGTAATCTTTTTGTTATTTTGAGTATCTGAACAAAGTATATTTCTCAGAAAAGGTAGGTCTTGCCCTAAGAAGAATTCAGATTATCAGTTGCTGAGACAGTATAATTCTCTTTCAGCTGTTTGCATGTGTAAATTTTATCTTCTGTTTATAGAGCCTTGGAGGGGTTCTGTATTAGACTATTTGTTCATAGGCATGTAGAAAAATCTTTTAGGGCCTCCCCTGGTGGCGTAGGCGGTTGAGTGCCGCACTGTGAAGCTGTCCGCAGCCTCTGCAGGCCCTGCTTACTCCCAGCCAGCCGGGAGGGTCCCACATGGTACAGCAGACCTCTTCTGTCACGCCCACTGCTCCCCTCAGCAGTGTATTTCGTCAGTCTGCCTGTTCTGTTCCCCGCTCTGTCTCTGGTGAATCCTCTCACCCTCCCACACATGTAGTCTTTACCCGGGTTCTTGTATAAAAATAAATAAATAAATAAAGCTTTAAAAAAAGAAAAAAGAAAACTCTTTTAGGGTTTTATTCCTCAACTTTTTAATAAAGGACCCTGTCCAAGTTGTTGATTGGATAAATTGTTTCTGGACTTACATGTTGTTTAGGGATCTTAACAGTAGACTATATAGTATGGGGGTGGGATGACACAAGGATAATTCTGAGCAGATTAAGCCAAATCACCAGGTTCAAAACTCTTTACTATGATTAAAAGATCAGTTTTGTTTTTAAAAAACTGAATTTTAATGACTGAATTTTAATGAACTGACTCCCTGGCCTAGCCTTAGAATGTTTCATTTTAGGAATTAGTTTCATTTTGAAAGACAAAAAAGTTCAAATTTTCTGATCATATCAAAGATGAATTTAGTCTTATGATTGTCATAGTACTTTGTTAGCAAAGATGAGATTAACTGATAATGCTAGTGTTGTGATGAGACTCAGCATGTTTAGAAGAGAACTAGAATTTCTCTCAGCAACTATTAATAAAATTTTCATGTGCAAGTTGAATCCTGTAGGGGGTTGCTATTTATAGATATGTCAATTTCATAATTTGACTGAATAAGATACTCTTTAGTAGACTACTTATGGAAAATGACTAAGTTACTATAGTATTTATAATAATTTCTGGTATTGTATTTACATAACCTAGTATTGGGTTATTTATTATATTTATGTAGCTGTAGTTTGCTAGGACTACCATTTAGTCAGAATCCAAAGAGGTAAGATTTCTAAGTCATCTATTTTCAACATGTGATAGTCCAATCATAAAGTTATTAATTTGCCCTTGACTTTATTTATTATGGAGTAGAACCTAAAATTTTATCAGATGGCTTGTTACACTTCTATATTTCCAGTACATGTACTTTAAAATTTTGGGTTTTCATTTTAGAAAGTGTATCCTATTTATCTTCAAGTAATTATTTATTTGGAAGTTTCATATATATATATATATATATATATATGAAAAATAATTACTGGACTTTTCTATAAAAGAGAGTGAGATTACTATTAGATAATATCAGAATCTAGTTGTGGCTATGTGTTGGGGATATAGTAATTAAAAAGAGTTCCCATTTGCTTAGTATCTCATTTTTGCCAGATCTATTTGGCTACTTTACAGTCATTCCTCATTTAAACCTTACAGCAACAGGGCCTCCCTGGTGGCGCAAGGGGTTAAGCACCGCACTATGAAGCAATCCGCAGCCTCTGCAACACGAGTTTGATCCCCGGCCAGCCAGGGAGAAACCCACATGGCGAGGCAGACCTCTCCTGACTTGCCCGCTGCTCCCCTCAGCAGTGTATTTCAGTCCATCTGCCTGTTCTGTTCCCCACTCTGTCTCTGGTGTATCCTCTCACCCCCTGCATCTCTGGCCTGTGCCCCAGCTCTTGTATGCATAAATAAATAAATCTTTTAAAAAAAAAAAACATACTGCAACATTCAGAGGTAAATATTAATACACCCATTGTACAGATAAAGAAAATATTCATATAATATTGTACAAATAGTGGGTATCAAGAGTATTATGTATAACACCCCTTTTTTGTCCTCTACCTAAAGGAATGGAAATGCACAAGTGAGACAACTTGCTATTGATCATTAGCAGGTTACTTAACATCACCATGGCTCAATTTTCTACCTATCTAGGCAGTCCAACTAATCTTTTCCACAGATATACAGATGCCTAGGTACCAACTCTACCCTAGAAATCTCATTAATTAATCTTAAATCTTTTGCTAATGAGATATGATGGAACCATTGCCTCAGTGGTTAATAGTGTTTTAGAGTCAGTTAGACTTGAATTAGAGTTCTGATTCCACTAAACTTACCAGTTGATTAATTTTTGTCAAGTTCTTTTCATGTTGGTAAGTTTCTTTATTTATAAATGAAAGATAATACTGTTACCTACTAAAGATGATTGTGGAGAATGAATGAGGTTATACTTGCAAAAACACTTATCATTAGTGATGTAGAATTTTTCCTAAACATTGTTGTTAAAGTGTCACTATTACATTACCCTTTGTCCATCAGAATACTCATCTGTATCAACTGGGTGTCAGAAAAGTAATCTGATGAATACCACTATAAAAATGAATAGTTTTCATTATTCATCTTTCATTGTGGAATTATAATAGAAGTCATAGGAGTAGACAAGATTTTTTTTTCCACACTAATCAGCCAGACTACTCTAACTACATGTATTATTAGTTTATTATTAGTGTATTATTTTTCCTAAGAGGAAATAGAAAAGGTTGCTAGAAACTACCTTCCTAAGGGGCTTTTCTTCCCCCTTTCTCAGAGTTTAGCATTACTATCATCAATCCCCTGGAATCAGAACTGCTTCCTGATTTACCTAAGTACATTCCCCCCTCCCTTTGCTCTACTAACCATCTCTTTCACCTGTATTATATCTCATTCTGCCCTTTCAGATTTCTGAGTTCAGTTGTGACTCATTTGATGACTTGGACCCAAGTCTCTAAATTCCTAGGCTATTACTCAAATAGAGGTCAACCTAAATCCTAACTTTATATACCAGACCAATCCTTATTGGGGAAGGATTAGATTAGCTAAGATTACAGGCTGTTCCTAGACCCTCTGATCTCTTACTATTTATACCTAGTGGTCACAGCACATAATAGTAACAATACAGGACCTCTCTGGTGGCGCAAGGGGTTAGGTCACAGCACTACGAAGCTATCCGCAGCTACTGCAGCACTAGTTCAATCCCCAGGCCAGGGAGTTGACCCACACGGTGCAGCAGACCTCTCCTGACTCGCCCGCTGCTCCCCTCAGCAGTATATTTCAGTACATCTGCCTGTTCTGTTCCCCATTCTGTCTCTGGTGAATCCTTTCACCCCCCGCACCTCTGGCCTGTACCCCAGTTCTTTTATGCATAAGTAAATCTTTAAAAAATAATAACAATGCATATTATTACCAGGTTTTGTTATATGTATATATAAGCTTTGTTAAATATATGCATAATTGCCTTGCAACTTGAAAATTGAGACTGTACCACTTAAGTAATTTGATAACTGTATCATGGAAAAGGTAGAATTTGAGCTTGACATTAAAGTATGGGCATACTTGTTTCTTTAAGTGGAGAGGAAGAGTAAGGGATTCCAGTTAAGGGGACTGATAATGAGCAGTGACTTAAGGAAGCATGCAAACTTAGAAAATCTGAATGTTCAGCTAAGGTGTTTGAATTAGTAGGTTTTTGGTATATCCTGTGAATTCATTTGACTTCCTTGATTGATACACATTCAACTTAGTTCTGAGATTCCCAAGTTCAGTACCCTTCAGTGCTTTATGTGGTTGATGTAAACTGAAGGCCATCGTCAAGTCTCCTTTCTACCTCAAGTGGTGCCTTGTGGAGTGTCAGATCAGTTACCTTTATCCTGGTGCTTTAGTTTTCTCTTGTCCAGGCTGAGCAGTACCTTATCAGCCTTTTCCCCATATCCCCCTTATTGCTTTTCCCCATATTCCCCATATCCCCAGATTGCATACCAGCAATACAGTGAGTGTCCTCTTATCACAAGGGCTAAAAATTCTTAAAGTTTTTTGTATCTCCTTCACTCTTAAAAATGTTCTTAGATATATGTTTTGTGTCCCTGATAATTAGTAACTTTCTGTTTCTCTTCCTTTGCAGACCGAGAGGATCAAGACATAATGGGAGCATTTTTAGATAAGCCAAAGATGGAAAAGCATAATGCCCAGGGGCAGGGTAATGGGTTGCGTTATGGGCTAAGTAGCATGCAAGGCTGGCGAGTTGAAATGGAGGATGCACATACGGCTGTGATCGGTTTGCCAAGTGGACTTGAAACATGGTCATTCTTTGCTGTATATGATGGGCATGCTGGTTCTCAGGTTGCCAAATACTGCTGTGAGCACTTGTTAGATCACATCACCAATAACCAGGATTTTAAAGGGTCTGCAGGAGCACCTTCTGTGGAAAATGTAAAGAATGGAATCAGAACAGGTTTTCTGGAGATTGATGAACACATGAGAGTTATGTCAGAGAAGAAACATGGTGCAGATAGAAGTGGGTCAACAGCAGTGGGTGTCTTAATTTCTCCTCAACATACTTATTTCATTAACTGTGGAGACTCGAGAGGTTTACTTTGTAGGAACAGGAAAGTTCACTTCTTCACACAGGATCACAAACCAAGTAATCCGCTGGAAAAAGAACGAATTCAGAATGCAGGTGGCTCTGTAATGATTCAGCGTGTGAATGGCTCTCTGGCTGTATCGAGGGCCCTTGGGGACTTTGATTACAAATGTGTTCATGGAAAAGGTCCTACAGAGCAGCTTGTCTCACCAGAGCCTGAAGTCCATGATATTGAAAGATCTGAAGAAGATGATCAGTTCATTATCCTTGCATGTGATGGTATTTGGGATGTTATGGGAAATGAAGAGCTCTGTGATTTTGTAAGATCCAGACTTGAAGTCACTGATGACCTTGAGAAAGTTTGCAATGAAGTAGTCGACACCTGTTTGTATAAGGTAGCTAGACTTTTTTATTAAAGATAAAGTGATTTTTATGTCATCTTTAATTACTGCTCTAGTATTGAATCATCTTAGTCCCTGTAGTTCTTAGTAATAAGTTTTTGGCACAAGCATAGGATACTCTATGAAAATATAGGAATTTTTTTAGAAATAAATTACCCAGTTAACAAATATGCAAACATTATGGTCTGAATGTTTATAGTCTTTTAGTAACCATGACTACTTGAGCTTTTGAATATGGGGGAAGATTATCAAAGGTAAAGAGATTATATCAAAGTACATCATTGAAAAGAAAGTGGGTGGGGAAGGCTAGGCCTCGATGTCTATGTGTTAGAATTTTAATATTTTTAATATATAAACAATTGTAGTACATATAACATACTATATATGATATGTGCATATTAAAATTTTTAATATTTTAAGCATGTAATATCAGTACATTTATGGAATTACTTTGAGACTCTGGTCTAATGAATCTGTAGCACCAACAGAAAGACCAGTGATCATTTGATGTGATGTAATAGTAATAGCCTTGGATATGGAGTCAGAAGAACTTTGTGTGAGACTGTATGACTTCAGGTAAGCTGTTTAAAACTATCTGGAAAATCAGTTTCTTTAATTGTAAAAAAAGGTAAGAAACACTATTACCATGTCTGAAGGGGTCTTTGGGATGATCAAATTAATTTGTATATGTACATAAACTGGTTCAGCCTCTTTATTTTTACAGGCGAGGAAACTGAAGATTTACCTCTATTACTTTTGCACTCTACAGTTTTGAACAAATTATTCAACCCATCTATTGAGAGGAAATAATAGTATCTAACTCATAGGACTACTGAGGAATTAAATTATGCTGATGTGTGTGTACATATATATATATATATATATATATATATATATATAGTGTGTGTGTGTATATATATATATATGCTATACCTAGTATAGCAAAATTGTATGTACTTGATACATGTTGCTTGCTTTCCTAAAGAAGTTGAAAATGACTTCTACAGATTTGTAAACTTCAGTAGCAGTACTAGGAATAGATTATAAACCCTTACCTTAGATTCAGTGTTATTTCTTCCACACTGTTTTGTCTCTAATAATTAACTAAATTGATTTTTTAACAAATGTTGATTTTATAACGCTCAGAATATTTGATTTTCTTTTAATATGCAAAAGTAGAATGTCATTATACTTCAGTTTTATGCACACTGCTGGATCTACTTAAAAATCTTAATTAATGGGCCTCCCTGCTGGCGCAAGGAGTTAAGATGCAACCTATGAACCTAACCGCAGCTACTGCAGCGCGAGTTCGATCCCCGACCAGGGAGTAACCCACAACCCACATGGCGCAGCAGACCTCTCCTGGCTCACCTGCTGCTCCCCTCAGCAGTGTATTTCGGTCAATCTGCCTGTTCTGTTCCCCACTCTGTCTCTGGTGGATCCTCTTACTGCCCACACCTCTGGCCTGTACCCCCATTCTTGTGTGCGTGAATAAATAAATCTTAAAAAAAATCTTAATTAAAATCTGATAATTAGAAATCAGATTTATGTAATATCCAACATAAGTTAATGTGACATCAAATACATGTTAAAAAAAATCAATAGAGGAACAATTTGATAGTGCAGTTAATTTCTAAATTTGGGAGAACCAAACAACAATGTAAATGTTCTTTGTCCCTTTTAATATTCATGAAAATAGAATCCATTTGTTGGGATTATTCTGTAGCACTTGAGAGTTAACTACTTATTAGCTAAAATAAAAGCTGTTTTCTTGAAAGAATTGCCAGATTCAAATATTAGCAAATTATGACTCAATTCCACTTATTCTGTTGTATATTTTATAAATTATTCAGTAATTATTGTTAGCCACATTTTATGCAATTTCCCCCAAGATTATCTTTCACGTTAAATTATTTTGGATTGCTTAAACTAACATTATAAGGTCAGTTTTCCCATATAATGAAATTAAAATACTTAAAAGGTAGAAGCTCCAGGGCCTTCCTGTGGCACATGGGGTTAAGTCTCAGCACTATATAGGTATCAGCAGCCACTGCAGCACATCCCAGGCTGGGGAGCTAACCCACATGGTGCAGCAGACCTCTCCTGTCTCTCCAGCTGCTCCCCTCAGCAGTGTATTTCAGTCAATCTGCCTGTTCTGCTCCCTACTCACTCTCCGGTGACTCTTAGTACTGCCCTCCTCCCCCCATGCCACCCCCGCCCCAACCCCTGCACCTCTAGCCTATATCCCAGCTCTTGTATACATAAATAAATCTTAAAATAATGCAAAAGCTCCAATTCCTAATTGAAAGAAAAGTGTGGGGTTGTCAACATCATTTCAAGTATTTTAATAATAACATGGAGTACCTAAATGTCTTTAAAAATGAAATGTCTTTAAAAATGAATATACTCCCTATTAAGTCATTTTTCTAAACTGTGAGAGTTAAAACTGTTTCATAAACTTTATATATGTAATCTTCTAAGTCCATGTTTCTACTTATTATGAAACAATCAGCCCCACAACTAATTATAATACATTTTAAATGTAAATTGGTCAGGTATACATATAATTAATTATAAGTTAGATCCAGTTGTAAGGAATGCCACTAGATTTTTTTCCTTTGTTAAATTGAATGAAAGTGTGTGTGTGTGATCACTACAAGTAGGCCTCCAGTAAATGTTTAGGTTTTTTTTTTTTTTTCTAAAATTTTGAAAAATTGTTAGAGTGTGATTTAACCCATGTGTTTCTCATCTTTTTGGAGTGCTGGCTATACTGTATGTGGGGTGTTCCCCCGATGTGCATATATATTTTTTCCACCTTAAAAGCAATATGTGTTTTCATTAGACCAAGTATAAATACAAGCCATTTTAGACCAAGTATAAATACAATTGGCATGGCTATAAAAATTTGAAAGGCTTTGAAGAGTAAAACAAAACTGAAAATATTTTCTCAAACTTTTTCTTCCCAGGGAAGTCGAGACAACATGAGTGTGATACTGATCTGTTTTCCAAACGCACCCAAAGTATCCCCAGAAGCAGTGAAGAAGGAGGCAGAGTTGGACAAGTATCTGGAAAGCAGAGTAGAAGGTGGATCATTTAACAAAAAATAAGTAGCTTTATTAAAGAAAATCAACACAATCAAACTTTAACATTTTAGCTTTTAGACCTTTACATGCCTTTGACATTTAATGTTTAGTGTACAAAGTGGGAAAGGGCATTTCTGTTGTAGCTGTTTAGATGTATGTGATCGTCTTCTTATAGTTACATTAGCTGTAACAACCAGTGTGGTCCTGTACAGTCTGTTCAGGATACTATGTTTAAAAAGGCTAAAAGTGTTTGTATGCTTTAAAATTCTTGGTGAATTCACTGGCATGAGTAATTTTATGCCATGAAAGGCTGATTGTGGTTTAACTATAAACAGATTATTTATGATGGTGGTAATTTGAATACCATCTTTCTGTGTGAAGTGATGTATGTGACTTTAAGCCTTTTTTTAAAAAAAAAAAAACTTGAAGATTCTGATTATTAACAATTTTCATGTGCCATAGCTTTGAAAAATTTATTTTAAATTCTTTCAGGGTTTTGCTTAAGCCATAAATTTCCTCACTTAGACAACATAGACCTGAAAAGAAAATATATTGGGTCTCTAGCTGGCAGATATGTAAATTTTGAATAAAATCAAAAAATAGTTGTCATAATTCTACAAGTTACTTTGGACGATTAGTAAGATATTTGTAACTCTGAAGTGTAATGTCTTTCAATATTTCAAAAAAATCAAGTCATCTTTGATACAGCTATTACTTGGTATAAATATTAAGGGCCCCCCCCCCAAGAATTACAGTGTGCTGCATATATGCAATAAGCATGTAGATTATGCAGTTTCTTTAAGCAGAAAAACTTCACATGCCTTTAATAGTGTTAAAATGCATTTTGGGCTTCTGATGTTATTAATTTGCACCTTAAAACCTTTAATAGCATGTAAGCACTACACTATTATATCCTGCTGTGCCTGTCCTATTAACAATATGCACTTTAATTTTGTTTTCTCCCTTTTTATTGTTTGATATCAATTATAATCTTTCTGATATTAGAATCATGGTTGGTTTTGATTTTCAGTGTTATCTAAAGCTGCTATTTTGTCTTTATTGCTCCCACCACTTGATAGTGATATATCTAGTATGTATAATTACTTTTTAGTATTTCATTTATTGGACACTATCCAATAAGTTTGTTTCATCCCTATTACCTTGGGTCTTGGAATTTTTACATTTTAAATCATCTCAATCTAAGTTATAAATACAGTAAAGTAAAATATTTAGATGCTTCCAAGTCATATAACATTGGTTCAAGTTGATAATTTATTGGCACTTTAAAGTAAGTTGGTCATACATGTTTTCTTACTGATTTAAAGAAATAAAAGTAAGTACTTTAATTTTATTTACTATGAAATGGGGTCAAGTTTTAAAAACTACCTTTTTCTTTAGTGTGCACTCTTTAAAGTAAGTTTTTAATGCAATTCTAAATAATTGCTTTAGATAATTTTGTTATAATAGTTTTATATTGCTTTTTATCTATCAAGAATTGCCACCTGAACAGCATTTACATACTCGCTATTTTTGATTGTTGAAGTGTTGTTATACTTGTACTATTCAATTGGAGACTATTATGTCATAAACATTCTTTACTGAGGTAGGTCTGATGAGACTGCAACAAGAGAATAAATATTACATTAATTAAAACTGCTGCTCTACTCAAAAACACAGAAGAATGTAACTGCATTTGTTAAAAAAAAAGTTAACTTGTCGTAAAAAAATATAAAATGCTGCATGCAGTCAGTTACCAAAACAGGCACTAAATACCTTTTACTCTTTTTTTCTTTAAATATATGCCTCCATTAAGTTGCTGTGACCTACTAAACCTCGCTTTATTTGCCTTGAATTCTATTTGACTTCACACTATAAAAAGGACAAAAGCATTTCTCTTTCCTATTATCTGTGCCCTTCTAAATACTTGACTCTTCTGGGTTGTAAAAAGATTTCAGCTCATAATTTAAACTATACCACTTAAGGTTGTGGTCCTTCTAAGTCAATGTAAGATTATATTTCTGTGTATATATTTTTAAAATCTTTGCTATTGACCACCCCAACTTTTAGTTGCTAATTTGGATATAACTGATAGAATCCTTCAGCTTTGGTGGTGAGGGAAAGGGAAGGGGCAGAATGTGTTTGTTTATGTGTGTGTGAAACATAGATCTTCTATACATATATATGCTTTAATAAAAAAAATTTGGTCTTTTTACAGTTCTACTTAAAATACAATTAAAGGACTATTTCCTAAAATTTATTTTTCTCTTTTAAAAGCAGAAACAAGCAAGACTAGTGTAGTATTAATATCAGATAGTTTTAAGTGTATTGTCCCATGTGGAATGGGAAATATTAACTGTTTTCAAAGCCTTACATAATTTTTTTTAAAGAATTTGTCTTCATGTAATTTTTTTCATAATTAAAATATCCTAATTTATATTTCATCAGAAGAGATGTAAGATACATCAAATATAGATGATTCAAAGTAATGTTTTTTAGACCTGAAGCCATCATTGATTGAATTTATTATCAGTGTTCATTCTAATGTATCTAGTTATCAATCCAGTAATTGTATTGGTTTAGCAGAGACTGTATGTTAAGTATGTTACAACTCTAGATTGTGAAATTGTGCAGTTTAGGTAAACATCAAATCCCTTTATTTTTGTATAGCAAATTTCCAGCATTAGAACCATGTAGAATAAATATAATACTAGATGTTAAAGATTAAACAATAAAGGAACTTGGCAAACCAAATCTGAGATCCTTGCTTTTTGTTCAGTTTAAGACTTTTTTTTAAAAAGGCAAAAAATAGGTGGTAAAATTTGACCTTTATTCTGAAATGATAATTCAAGCCATTTAAAGAAATATGGGTAGCAGTGTGTCTTTTAATATGTGGCTCTAGTGTTATTATTTGAGACTGGATTAAAGAAAGATCTTTACATGCATTGTTATATTTACAAATGATGTCCAATGATGACAAAGAAAATTTCTTATAATAAACATTGAAAACCCAAAAATTGAACAAAACTTGAACATACAATTTACAGGTACCTTTGGCATGATCTTGCATTTAGAATTAATGTGCTAAAACTCTAACTAAAGACTTCTAGTGCAAAAAGTGAATAGCTTGAGAGTTCTTTAAGTTGTTTGTACATAATTGTTGGTGTTCTGTGGTATGAAAAACGTGCATCTGCATGGCAACACTGCAGATCATATTATATCCATTTAATAACTGGATGGTTTGGAATTAACAACTTTAAATGTAGTTGTATGGTTTATAATGAATTTAGATTTTTTTTCCAATCCAGACTTTGTTCATATTATATATCTATTTTTTTGCTTAGAAATACTCTAGACAAAAACTAAGCTGAGAGTGGTGTTTAAGTACGTAACCTAATCTGCACATGCTTTGCAAATATAAGTATTTATGTAAAAATGATTGGGTTAGAGCAAAAAATTCCCTGTACTTAAATAAAGGTTTATCTTTTTTCAAACGTTTATTTTTTAAAAAATTGTGCAGTATATTTTCAAGGCAAAGTTTAGAAAACATGTTTCCAGTGGTAAAAAGAGGAGCTGATCTCAGAAGTGACTAGTTGGCATCTTAAGAATATTCTCATCTGTACACACATATCCATCCCTACTTATGTAACATACTGATCTTAATGTGAAATTTTTTCACATTATCATTTATTTTTATTTTTTGAAGCTGATCTGGAAATTACCTTGATTTTTGTATCATTTTGCGCACCTCTTTGTCATAAATTTTCAAAGGTGATCTTTTATACCAGTTTAGGAAATCTCAGATGTGGTAAATGCCATCTTTAAAAACCTAAGTTATCTTTGTTTCAGTTTTTTTAAATTAAATTTGGATAACACTTACAAAAAAAGTACTTCTGATTCCCAGAAATCATAAAGAAGCAGGGGGAAGGAGTCCCTGACTTAGTCCATGTGATGCGCACATTAGCCAGTGAGAACATCCCCAGCCTCCCACCAGGGGGTGAATTGGCAAGCAAGTAAGTTACATTTTGTATATTCTCAGTTTCTCTCAGTAAATGAAAATGTTAGGTGTCCTTTGTACACACACGTTTACCTAATTTCTCAAGGATGCAATTATCTGTATACTCAAAATGTGATTCACTGTTTTTCAGTAGTGATATATGATGCTTGTTTAGAATATAGATACCAGAATGTCATTGTGACTAATTACACCAAAGTCTGTCTTTAGTGGAGGGTTGGCTTACGTTGCTATAATACAGTGAATTATTTTTTAGTTAAGTTACAGCACCACAAAATTCTGTGTCCTAATTTTTCCAACTGTTGTAATTTGATTTGGTGGCTCCCTGGATGCTGTAAAACCCAGGGATAAGCATCTAGCTCTCATCCCATCTGGTCATATTTCTACCTCTCTGATTTTCCCAGTGTTTTTGGTTGTTTATTTCTGGTTGGTTAGTTTTTGGTGCGAGGGAAGATAGAAGGATGCCTTTCTTTCCTTTTCCCCTTTGTACTTCATATGCTGGATTAATCTTTGTTAAATATTAAGCTTATGTCTTTATGAACTAAAATGGAGACTTCAAGCAGTTTTATGATCAAAAATTAAAACTTTTTACCTCAGATACTCACATAATTGGCATATGGTATATTGACTGGTTTCATTGATTACCACTTGATTTTGACTGATTTCCTTGATTACAAGTGAAACTATGTTCTTTTTAATCATTGTACTAAATAGTAATTGTAAAAATTCCTGTTTGAAGCTTTTAGTTTTTAGAAACCTTTTCTTGTAACATTTCTGTGACATGACTGGCGTATAAATTCCAAATCAATTGTAGAAATAGGGAGGCTATCACTTATAAATATACTATTTTTGGATTATTTGACAAAATACTATTCAAAAACTAATTTCTAGACTTGTCAAGAAAATATTACATTTGACATTAAAGTTTTAATAGAGCTTTTTAAAGGGGGCATTATGAAAAGCAGAAAATAAATGTTAAAAAGATCAAATTATTTTACTACAATAGATAGTGAAGTAACTTTTACTTCAAAATAGTTAACTCTAAACCAGAATATATTAGTTACTTTATTTCAAGAACTGCCATTCCCATTGCTGACTCATAACCATAGGAGTTCACATAAGAGTACGCTATATAGGCTGTTTTTTTTTTCTTTTGTCTTCTACTAATTGGGTTGATAGTATGTATATTTCAGAGTAAATTTACCTTTTCCTCTATTCTAACATTGGGGCCCAGATATCTTAAAGTGGGGCTCTCTTATTGACAGTAAGAAATAGAACTCGAGAAACTGTGAGATTATCTTTGGCATATTAATGAACATCTGGCTATGAGATAAATAATTTTGTACTTTGAAGAATTAACTTTCTGCTTTTAAAAATTTAGGCGGAATATAATCGAAGCCGTTTACAATAGACTGAATCCTTACAAAAACGATGACACTGTAAGTAACATTTTAGCCCCCACTGCTTTCCCTTCCCCTCCACTTGAAATGCATATCCTTCCTGTTTTTCCAGAGTTACTCAATGCAGCCATTCTTGCATACATAACCCTGGCTGGTTGATTGATTGATTGACTGTTCTGAACTCTGTTTACCATAGTTCTAGTGATTGAGGATATAACCACTTCTCTCAAAAAAGAAGAAAATTCCTTTGAATTATTCTGTGTATTTGAATCTTCTATAGATGGCCAACTTTAGAAGGTTTTCGTCCATTCATTTTTTTTGAAGTTGTAATTATCTACTCAATCTTGAATTAGGCTGAGTTTTGTAAGCAGTTGCAGCAGAACTTCATAATGCCAATTTCCATTAAATAGTTGGACATGCCTTTGCCGGGATCACTGATGTACTTCATTTAAATATTGAAGAATTGAATTCTGTTTATATAAATCAACATTTAGATGTTATAGTCTCCAGTTAAGTTTCCAGTTAAAATTCTTTTGTAGTATGCTGTTTTCCAAAGAGTGGCAATTTGAAATCATTTAGGTATAACTCTGAAATATTTTGTATATTGCATTATAAAGCCTCTTCAAATCTCATATTTCTTGAGGTCTTAATCTCTTCATATGCAGTAGAAGCTTATAAAAAAATAATGTTCTGAAGATAAATTGGGTTTTGTTGAGGAAAAAAATTCTTTTTAGTAGTTTTGATTTGGTCATTTGGTCAACTTCATGGGTAGTATAATATTTCAAATATTCCAAAACAAAAGGTTAACAATTCTCTGGACAGATTAAATATTGCCATTTTTATATACAAACATACACATATTATGTACTGTATAAAGTCCTTATATTCTAAATGCCAACTTTACTAAATTTTTACATTATCCAGGATGTAATGTATCGGCACATCTAAAATTTTATTTATTTCCTTGTTGTGTTTCCTTAATTTATAAAGGACTCTACGTCAACTGATGATATGTGGTGAAACTGCTCATCTAGCCATGGAGTTTACCTTCACCTCCAAAGGAGAGTACAGCTCAACTTCACTGAACCTTTTAAACATCCATCCTCAACTTTAAAGAAGGGCATGTGATGGGTGAGAGTGATCACACCAGAGAACTTCAGCAGTACAACAGCAAGCCCAGAACTGATTTTTTTTTTTTGTAAATTTGAGACTTATGTAAACGTGATTTCAAACCATAATTCATGTTGTAAATCAGACTCCAGCAATTTTTGTTGTATGATTTTTTGTTTTTTTTTGTAAAGTGTAATTGTTCTTGTACAAAATGCTCATATTTAATTATGAACTGCTTTAAATCACTATCAAAGTTACAAGAAATGTTTGGCTTGTTGTGTGATGCAACAGATAAATAGCCCTTGAAGTCATGTTGTGTTTGGACTTGGGTTGGGACAGGGAGAGCAGCAGCCATGTCAGCTCCATGCTCAAATGTACACATGATTATGGAAAATAATTTCAAAATCTTTACAAAGCCAAACATTTAGTAAGTTACTGCAAACTATCTTAATGTTCTTGGCAGTGGGATTGGCATTGTTGAAAATGGTCCCCTCATTTAACTGTCTTTTAGGTTGTCCTCTCCTTGTTGCCACAAGTATTGCAGGTAATACAGTATATTCATAAGAATATCAATCTTGGGGCTAGAATGCCTTGATTCTTTGCACCTCTTTTACAAGTCCTTACATTTAATTACTAATTGATAAGCAGCAGCTTCCTACACATAGTAGGAGACTGCCACATTTTTGCTATCATGATTGGCTGGGCCTGCTGCTGTTCCTATTAAGATATTCTGAATTCCATTTTATCAATAAAGCTTGATTTAACAAACAAGAAATTTAATCATGTATGTGTAATTCCTCCTTTAGCCCCGTCCTTTAAAAACATGATGCCATTGTAAAAGAGAAGTTTCTCGTGGGGAAAGATGTTAGTCTTTTTTAATTGGAAAGTACTGTTACTCAGAGCATAGATGGAACTGTTTTCCTTCCATTAGAAAGACTGAAAGATTCAAGTCTCTGTTGTTCCTTAATTTTTCAAATGGATTTTTCTGGCTGTTTTTCATTAAGATGTGTTATTAGCTTAAATTTGCCTACTGTTTAATTAAAATAATTGTCAAAGGGTGACAATCTAACACTCTATTATAGGGGTGTGTGTCTGTGTGTGTGTGTGTGTGTGTGTGCGCGCGTGCGTGCGTGCGTGCGCGCGCGCCTGTGATTTTTAATTGGCCCATGTCTTTAGAATCCAAGTAGTTAAGATGTATTTGTGATTTGAAATATAGCATGTTGATAATATTTAGCTGTTGGCCTTTAAAAATAATTTTCAAAACTTAAAGAGTTGTAGATATAAAAACAGCCTAATTTAACTTAGGCTTAAATTCCTCTGATTAAGCATGTGAAAGTAAGGTTTTTAAAATCTGTCACATTGAAAAAACTGTTCTGTGCCCTTCTGTATTTTTGTCTTTTTAGGTTGCATATTGTATTTATTGCCATGTAATTTAATCATTCAGTAGGCAGAGTCCCCACTAGAAAACTATTAAAATGTATGGTTAAAATACAACATTGACTACAAAATCAAAGCTTTGTGTATAAAAGATAGTATAATCAATTTTGTTAATTTGCTTTTTCTCTAATTTGGAAATATACATATTTGTATATATAGCCTTAAAACTAATGTAAAGTTAGGGGAGTAGTGGGAAAAGTAATGTGAAATGTCTCAGACTTAAGTAGTTAAAACCAGCAAAATCTTTTCATCATCCCTCTTATTCGTGAGGTGATTAAATGTAACTTAATTGTATTTAATATATATCTTAATCCAGCATGAAGAAAAACAAGTACTATTTATATTTAGAAATTCATAACAGTTGGAATTACAGAACCAATTCCGTACTTAACTTACAAATAAATGCTTAATGTCTAAATCTGGTAGAGTGAGAAGTATGATAATGTTCTAAGTTATAGCTTTGCAAGCATCTAAATGTACATTTAATGAATACCAGTGCTTTAACGTAGATTGATTACCAGGCATACTAGTATTGAAAACTAAATCCCTATTTACAATAAGCCAGGTCCTTAGCTTTTATAAATAGATTGAAGTTTTTAGTTCTGGAAATTTCAGTATCTTGAATTCTTGAGATGTAAAACCTTAAATCACAAGTAAAATATGTGATGGAAAGCTATATTTCAAACCATAACAACATTAGAGCCCTTTTTATTTGAGTCTTTAAATAAAAAGGAGATTAAAGTATTCCTCTGTTAAAATTATAAGTACTGAAGTTAGGTTTAGAAGTGAGAGAAAACTTGTTAAAGTGTGATCTAAGAAGACTAAATCTTTTCCACATGAGTCAGCATTGCCATACTAGATACAATTTTTCATTATAAAATACAGGAAGGAAATATACAGCAGACTGTGTGTGTTCTTGATTTCTGGGGGTAATGGTGGTAGTGGGGATCCAGCTACACTTTCAAAATGCACCTCTGCACCTCTATTATACACTTCATTTTTGTACCACTTGAATTCTTTACCCCATGCCCCCTTTCGTGTGCTAATTAATTAGCATCTCAGGGCAACGCCTCAGATTTTTTTGATGTGCTATATGTTATTTGGAGGGGAAAAGTTCTTATAAGACAATATACTTAATATTCATTTAATATAGTTAATATACTTAAATTTCATTTAAGTGTTTTAATAGCATGAAGCCAATTTGCTGCTTTTAATGGGAAATTAACTATATAGCAGATTCTTATCCTAATATTAAATTTTTCTGATCTCTTTGTTTTAGCAAGGCAAGATCTCTTATTTCCAATTTTTTAGAGCATATACTTTTACAGATAGCTGAAGCATCTTAATATTAGCACTGACCTAAAATCAAAGTGATATTTTTTTCTTTAGAACTAACTCAGACATTTTTAATTATAATGCTTTCTAGTAGAGGGCAATTAGTACACTGCTTCAGCCACTTAATTCTTCTTACTAATTACATTACAAAATTTGGATTGAAGAATTACATAAATCCAATAATCTGATATATAGGTGTACTTGTAGTGACCATCCATTTGACCATGTTAGTCCAACTAATAACCCAGCTTTTTCACCAGATGTATTCAGTGTTATCTGCAAAGCACTGTTCTAGGCCACGCACCTTGGAACTATAAAGAAAGTGAATAGGCCCTTGCCTTCAAGAAGTTTGCATTCAAGTTGAGTTTAATATAATGTATGCTATTACAACTGGGTTACTCGTCCAAAAAAAATTGTTATTGCCAACCTGCCAGATAGTTTCTTGAACAAGGCAGGTCTCTGCTCTGCAGAACTCATTTGTACTTCATTCACCTTGAAAATTCTTTCCCTTTATTTTCTTCTCCACTAAGCTAAAAATCTCATTCAAAAGAAAATTTTGTTTAGCATAGGAATAAATTTGGACTGATGAGATGTAAATCTATTCAGAATACTTAATTGCCTTAACAAATGGCCTTCTTCCATTCCTACTGACCGCAGCAAGTCAGAGAAATAGGTGGTAGATTTCTTAAAGTTCTCCCACCCTGAAAACAGTGGTGGCCTGTCAGTTGAGGGCAGTTAACAAATATATCTCTCTAATTTGTCTTATTAAAGTGAAAACTGTTCTTGAAAACACACTGCCAGTGTTAATAGCCAATTTTAGCTATGTTTTAAATTTTTTAAATAATTTCACTGCCTATCATTACTGAACAAGTTCCCATATGGAAATTCAGTGATTTCTGAAAGAACTGATGAAATTGGGTACCAGTGTTTTCTTGAATTTTGAATTTTAAGGTATACACTTAATTCATAAAGTTTGAAAGAGGTTTATGACTATAATATTTTGATTGCTATTTGTACAGTATTAATTTAGGGTTTGGTATTAGAAAATATATAAATATATCAGTATATAGAAGTTTGTCATTTGAGGTTTTTCTTTGAAGAAACCTTAAGAGTTCCATGTACTTTTTTGCTTACAGATACTGCTGGTGAGATGATCATTTCTGAGTGATCTAGTCTAATTTTTTTTTAGGTGTTAGGAAGACGTCATTATAGTTCAAAGTCTTCCTTTAATTCTAGAATTCATCGATGTGTCATGAGTTTGAGATTATATTTGTTTTAAATTATACATTTCAGAATATGCTTGAAATATTTAAGAATACATTTTCTAATGTTATAATACTGTACTTTGTGTTGGTAAGAGTACTAAGTCTCAGTTAAGTGTTATTAGTGGTAGTCCAAATGCTATACAGAAACGAGAGAGATTTGGCTCCACTTCATTTTCAAATGAACATTTCCATTTTTGTTCACTTCAACATAGATTCTTTCCCTTTTACTTGCTTTATACATTAAGCTACTGGTCTTCTTATGTTTTCTTAATATTACTAGCAAGTAGTTTTGTGCCAACTAGAAAAACTTAACACATACTGAAATTGTAGTTGATACTTTTATTAGATGCTAGGCGGGTGGGGGGAGTTTGTTTTTGATACACTATAAAATGACTTATTTTTTCCCTCCTTTGTCCTGCACAAAATTTTGTTTCATTTCCTCTGCTGCCTGTCTGGTGGTTTCTCTTTCTTTTTTCAAATTGCCTCATCAAATCTAATTAATACTGTAACACTGGGCCAAAACCAGGAAAACTTGGGCGATAAAGAGGAGTGGGGAGATGCCAGTGAGAAAAGAGGATAATTCTTGATTATTTGAAAGGCAAGAAGAACGTCTTCCATGGTCCCATCTATATATATGGTTAAGAACTGTTACATAAACTAGGGAGAATGAACCTTTGCTTCTTCAGATAATTTGATTTTCCCAGCAAGGGAGATAATGATAAAGAATTACTGCTGCTTTAACAAAGAAATAACTGAGAAAAAGAAATGCACTGTTCATCACAAAAACCCAACCTTTCAATTCTTTTCATTGCTCCCAAACCCAGTTTTCTACTAATAGCTTTCTCATTGTTTAGGACAATTATTTATAGTTATTCCTTTCTTTTTACATAGCCCCTCCTGACATAGTAAAGGATTATTTAGTGACACTTAATTTGTATGGTTCTTTCTGAAGTAAGTTAGATTTGAGTAGGAGATTGGGTAGCTGCAGAACAAAATAGTAAGAGCTTAGGCAGAATGAATGGCACAACTTTTATTATAGTGATAGTTCTTAACCTTTAGCATTACAGGGCCTTTGAGATTAATGAATTCTAAGAACTTCCTTACACAGGGAAATGCATAATGTACATAAACTCCTCAAAGTTTACAGTATTTCAGTGATTCATGAGTCCCATGGTTTTGATCCCACACTATAACAGAATAGTCTTTTTTTTCTGTAAAGCCCATCAAAAATGTCTAAAGGGCATCAAAATAATTGAGTTAAGGATAAAAGTAGCAGAAGTAGAGGAAACCTAAGCTAGAATCTGTAGTATAATACTTTTTTTATATGTTGCATTTTGAAGAAAAGGAGATTGCTTAAAGGTGAAAAGATAGAGTATTTGAGCTAGCTTTGGAGGTTAACATTCTTTTCTAAAATTGCCACTTTTGAAATTCAACAGAAAATAGGAAAGACAATAACTGAATATGTCTGTCCTGCAGAGTGCAGACATAATAAAGTCACATGCAGATGTCACATCTGTCACTTCTCTAACTCAGGATTGAGTTCCCTGGTGTAAGAGTTGATTAAATGTTTAATTCACTTCAGAGTCTAAGCAGCTAGGTGTTTACTTACTAATACAGAATATTAAAATAGGATGTAACTAACCTAAGCCAGAAATGCACAGGGTTAATGAAACTTTTACTCAAATATAACTACCATGAAAAAATTGATTAGCTTGTTGCAGTTCTTGCCAAAACTGGATGTTCATGTGGAGCCTATTCCTATTTTGATGGAATTTTGAAACACAGAAACCATTTTTTTACTTGTTTAGACCTAAGTCAACAGCACATCTGCAGGAAAATACCTTGTTTGTAGAAATATGCTCCAATACTGTTGGTTTCACTCAAAATGATTTATTTTACTTAATTTGTATAAATGCTATGAGTGGAGCGTGCACATGTTAAAAGCATCTTGCATTACATATAGTGTCACTTTTTAAATCTATAAATGTAAAACTAATACAACTGCAAAAATATTTTTCTTACAGTGTGTAGCAAAGTTCTCCACAGTAACTCACCCACACTTTGCAGTTTATGTGATCCAATCTTTTAAAAAATTTTTCCATAAATGTATATTTTTTATTATGTACCATTTCCTGGTCCAAAGAAAATATGTGAATTCAGTTCTAACTTTAAGAATGTACTTTTGTTTTCAAGTTCGTTGAAGAAATTGCATTCAGTCTGTGAATAGTTGCAGATTGTATGTGAGATGAAAAGTAGAAATTTCTAGTTTGCAAAACTGGTTCCACTAAATAAACAGGCAATTGCATAATGTGTGTGTTTATGATTGATTGATATTGCAAGGGATGATTTTGTTCTGACTAGACACATAGAATATTCTAAATCAGTTTTTAGGAGACGTTAAGAGAATTTTTTTCAACTCAACTTGGTTAATTTGCTCAAAAAGATAAATCAGTCACAATCCTAACTAGACTTGTCCCTTCCTAATTTTAGGAAGATTTCCGAAACTAGTAAATTTGGGTTAAATGATTAGTTTCATGAAAACATTCTAGAAATAAAGTAGCCATAAGTTTTTCCTCTTTGTTTTCTTCAGATGATATCTTTTTCTTTAAAGAGATGAGATTGGGAATTGGGAGGTATCTGGGAAAGGACTTTTCTCCACATAGGGTGCCTGCTTCCACGTAAACTCGGGTGTGGTGTGTGTGAGTGTGAATGCTTACTTCTTTTGTAATTCTGTTAAGTGGTTGTATTACCTTTTTCCTGTCTTCCATCTGCCTGAATAGACCTTACATAATTGGAGGGACTTTAGGGTATGTCGAACTGGTCATGTAAACGAAATTCTGTAAACTGCAAGCATTTATTTTGTTTGTTGTTAGTAACAATGAGGGATCCTAACCAAAGGCAGTAAGACTGAGACAAAAATTCATATGGCACATGTGTAACTAGAACAAGGGTTCACCTATCCAAGTATGTTGTACTTTTATTATCTTTTTAAATTATTTTTTTGAACATTGAAGGTAAGGGCTTTTTAAGTAAAAATGATTTTTCCCGTTGTTACTGAGAAACTCATACTGAGCTACTCTTCTTTTTTCTTTTTTCCTTGTTATCATTTAATAGCTCAGACCGAAATTCCCATCAAATCACAGGAATTTCGATTCTAGTTGGAAAGCCTGTTTGATGAACTACTGCAGAAAAATTTGATGTGCATGCCCTCTATAGGACGTTACCTGCCACAAGATCCATTTGCCAGAGAACAGTAAAAGATCTGTGCTCCGCTGCTGCCAGTTGTCTATAAAAAGATTGATATTTACTTGTCCTGATACCTTATATAGGGTGCCCTGGAGAATCTTAAGCTTTCTATAAGATGTGTGTTTTGAGTTAATTGTATTGTTACCTAAATGGTGGAGTAGCTGAACACTACAGGTGTGCCATTCACTGCTGTGGGTTAGATGTGGGCTTGGGTCTTCCAGACCAAAGCACTTTCTCTATGGCTTTCCTGATGATACAAGTTTTTCCAGATGTTAATTTGAACCAGTGAAATTTGTAATATTTAATAATTTTTATCTACCAAAACGACAGTTTTATCTGGTTCAATCCAATCATTTCTAAAATCAGTTGTTCTTACATGATCAGATTGCAAGTCAGTACTTCTCTCATTTGTATTTCAAGTTAATCATGTCTCCTTAAAACAGACCCTTTGAACTGGGTAACAGTATGTGTGCATGTGTGTATGTGTTTGAACAATGTTGTAAGTAAGTCACCATTATAGACAAGGCCAAGTTTATAATTTCTACATTAAATTTAACAATGCTCTTATCTTAAGATAGCTTTTTAATTACTAACATATTCTTTGTCAGCCCTACTATTTAGGGAGTCCCTACAGATGCTATAGTATTAATTAGATCAACATGCTACTTAGACATTGTTATGAGAAATGTTATTCCAGCAGTAATCTCGTAAGGAAACAGTATTGAATTTAAGTATGCTTGGGTAGGATTTAAATAATAAAGATAGGAAAATGATTTTAAGGTTTTATTTTGAATTAAGTGAGGTGAGAGGAGAGTTCCTAACATTTATTAAGCGTGCTGAGATGTATGGATGCAACTCAGTCTGTAACAGTGCGGTAAGACTGAAGAAGTCTCTGAAAATCATTCTTTAAGTACAGTCTGTTAAAGCTGGATGAATGCTCTGTTCTAGGTGACAATCAGATTCTGACTTAGATTGTAGTGCCCTATTTTTATATTGTGCTATTTGTGTTTCTTTGGGTAATAGTAGACTGAATTTATCTTTTAAAATCAAAAGGTTTGCCAAGTTTGTAACTGGTGTAGGTCAGAAGGGTTGTGTTTACCTTGTGTTAGCATATGGTCCCCACTTACAGAATGTGTGTCTTCTAAATTCTCAGTATACAGTCTTGATGTGTATTTCATTGTACTTAACGAAGAAAATGTTTTTGCAGAGAGTCATCTTTCTAAGAAAAGCTTATTCCTAATTATTTTAACCTCTGAATTTTCAACTGCTCACAAAACTGAAAGGTTGTGTTTTTTAACTAAAAGTCTCCAGAACATCCCTAACACAATTAACTAAAATGTTCTAGTGATTGGATGTACTAGAAGCACATGGGAAGTGACTTTTTTAACTTGTTAAGCAAATAGAAGTCTTCATATAACTGGTATAAATTCAGTTTTTATCACTGTCTGCCTTTCCTGGTGTATTCTGACATTTTGCTACACTGATCCTCAATAAAATAGGGAGGAGTATTAGCATTTTATAAACGGCTTCTGTGCTTAGATCACAGATGTTCTTCCATAGTATTTACTTTTATATCTAATTCAGAGTGCCTGCCATGACTTTTTCCTTTATTTTGGTTTTAAATATGTAAGTTCCTAGGCAACATTCTGCTTTAGGACTTCCGTAAATATTTTGTAGAAAAGTTTGAGGTCACTGAATTCTATACATCCCTGCATACCATAAGGGATTGCTTGCCATGTGCTCTGTCCTGATTTTTGTAACATACAGGCTGAACTATTTGATGACAGTATGGTTATAAGTGTACTATATTTGCATGTGTAAATATCCTTGTTCAAGGGTGACTTCACAGTTCCTGTCACTAGTATTACTAATTCAACTTGACCTTCAAAAGCTTGCCACTTCACAGCCGGATGGATTGGCATCTGACAGGACCACAGTGTTGAGAAAAGCTTCATCTCAGGAGGAGCAGAGTTCCAAGAAGGAAGCTTCGGGAGTGCAAGTCTCTATAACTGAGATCATTTAGTTGGTTCTTCAAATCTGTTGGGATTGTCTTGATATTCTTAGTTTATTGGACTGAAATTCAAACACTATGTTCAAAAATCATTTGTTCAGGTATAAACAATTTGATTATGTGAAAATCATTGTCCTTTCTAACCTTGGAATAACGAAGTTTTAATGAAGTTGGCATTTTTCCTTTTTGGCAAGGGAGGAAGAAATGTGGTGGGGAAAAGATATACTAAAGGCAAGAAGAAGAGGTTGTTTGGAAAACCAAGGTATTTTGTGTGTGTGATTTTTTTTTTTAATTGTTTTTCTGAAATTTAAAATGAAATTAATCCTTATATTTCATAGTAGTCAATAATGCATCACTGGTTGGTAGATTAGTATAAAGTCTCTTTTCTCACCCTTATGTCCCTGCAAAAGCCCTGTTTTAGGGGGGAAAGGGAATGATCCCATTTTAATTGTCAACTCTCACTTGTAGTTTGATTAGGGAAGCAATTAAAATGATATCTAAAATAAGGATTACAGATTTTCTTTCTATTATCTGCTCCCTGAATTCTCTGAAGCAGTGGTTCTTAGCCTACTGACAAGATAGAATGAGCTGGGAAGCTTAACAAACCATCATCACTGGAGGTTAAGTTGGAAGGTTCACATTGAAAGTTACCCTCACCCAGTGAAAACCTGCCTCCTCCCTTACCCTTCCGCGGAGTTTCTATTGAATTCCTTGCAATGGCTCCTGTTTCCCTCAGAAAAAAGCAAAGTTCTTACAGTGACCTACAAGGCCACCTATATGATCTGGTCCCTGTGACTTACCTCTGGGACTCACATCTCTGCTTTGGCCACACTGGTCTCCTGGCTGTCCTCAGAACATACCTGTCTCACTCAAACCCAGAGTCTTGCAGGTACCTTACTTTGGCTGTTCCCTCTCCTTGGATTGTTGCACTGGCCAAAGCAAGTCACATCTAACTTCAAGAGGACCTGAAAGGAACAAATCAGAATATTTGTGAACAATCAACTGTCAGGGGTCCAAATATATGTGATATCTGAATAAGCTTGTGCATGTGTGTGTGTGCCTTGCAGGAAAATGTGACTGATGTCATTATACTCCAGGAAACTTATTCTGTGAACTGTGAGTTTGAGACAGATGAGTGCTGATAGCACAAAGGTTGATTGAGACCACACGGCTGATCTCATATTGTAAGTGCTCATAATTATTAAAAATAAAAGGTTGTTCTTGCATCTTTGGGCATGAAGTAGAATACCCAGCAGGAAGGGTAAAGTAAGATTTGCATAGGCAAAGCCAAGTAAGAGTTTTCTAAGCAGAGGATGTAGGTGAGCAAAGGAAAAGAAGTATCTGGTAGGGAAGCATGCTGAGGCCACCCAGGATGTTGGTCTTAGCAGAAACTTCCTGTTCAGACCCCCTAAGACACTGAGAAGTGTAGATAATGGCTCATCCCTAATTCAGTGCTTTTATGTCCCTTGCTTCTTAAAAAGCGCTTTCACTATATAGACACACAAAGTAGGAATAAGCATTGCTTATCTCAAATCAGCTTTACTCTCAAATCCAATGACATTTCAGTAACACATTGGAAGACTTGTCCTCCCCTTCTTAAACTACCCAGTGCAGTGCTGTACCAAACCTAATAGTCTTTAAATAATTTTTGGCTAATTGTTCTATAGGAATATTTATCTGTTATGTCCTCTACCCATCTGGAATGTTCTGGATCCTCTAGAAGAAATGTGGGCTTTAGGGAGCCTCAGCTGTGGATCCACATAAAAGACACCCTCCAACTTGAACTGAGCCCCGCTTAGCTGGTCTGGCTAGCACCTGGCCAGCCCCCGCCGGAGCCGTGGTTTAATTTGAACTGTGCACTTTGAGTGTGTGGGAACAGAGAGGCAGGGGCCACGTGAAATGTTATTTGAGGTTTCCTGTTTGCTCTAGCTCTGCTGCTGCTGCTGCTGCTGCTGCTGCTGCTGCTGCCGCCGCCACCACCCACTCCATTCCAAAACAAGTTTCATTCAGAAGGTGGAGTTAAAGCTAAAGGTAGTCAAGCATTTGATAGTTGATCACTTTCCAAGTTTTTATAAGGCATTTCATAATTAAACACATTATGAAACAGGCTGCAATTTATCAACAACTTATTTCTGATGTGGCTATTTTAAGATGTATAATTATTATGTGAATTTTTTGAGCGACTTCTAAAGGTATTACCCAAATCCGTTCATTGTGAATATGGTAATAATCTATTTTTCTTCTTTGTAAATATTTTTTTAGAGTAGAAATCCTCTATATGAATAGCAAGCAAAAAGGAAAACCCAACAGCATGGGCTCTTCGCACTCACTGGATACTTCATCTTCCTGCTGCTTCAGTTGTTCTGCCCAGTGTTGCTGGAGAGAATCATTAACCAATATTAAACCAACACCCACTGTCACTAAGTCTGTAATATGCTACAGCTGCCCCGTCAGCAGGCTCCTGACCCCACCTACACAGGCAGTTGGAGTTCAGCCTTTGAGACTCGCTGGGCAGTTCACCTGAGGTCTGTGCTGTCTCGGCTACATTCTATTGTGTACCTTGGGGCCCCAGTTTCATCTTCTCTGGGTAATAATTCCTCATCTCTCTCACTAAACACAAGTTATGCTTTTTTTTTTTTTTTTTCATTGATGTATCATTGGTTTAAAATGCTACCTAGGTTTCAGGACTACAGCTTCACATCTTGATAAATGAGTATATCAATACACCCACCACCAGTTCTAGTACCACTCACCTCTATCTACTTGGCCCCCTAAGATCCTTCCACTGCTTTCCCCTCCCCATCAGGTAACCACCACTTTCTCGTCAGGGTCTATGGCTTTGCTTTGTTTTTTTATATTCCATATATAAATGGAATTGTCCATTATTTGTCTTTCTCTTTCTGACCTACTTTGGTTAACATAATCGCCTCCAGTCCGTCATGTTGGTGGGACTATAAATGGTGCAGCCTCTGTAGGAACAGTATGGAGGTTCCTCAAAAAATTAAAAATAGAACTATCTTATGATTCAGCAATTCCACTTCTAAGTATCTACCTAAAGAATATGAAAACAGGGCCTCCCTGGTGGTGCAGCGGTTGAGCGCTGTGTGGTGAAGCTGCCTGTAGCCTCTGCAGCGCCGGTTCGATCCCCAGCCACTGGGTGAGGGTCCCACATGGTGCGCAGACCTCTCCTATCGCCCGCTGCTCCCTTCAGCAGTGTACTTCATCAGTCGGCCTGCTCTGCTCTCCCCTCTGGCTCTGGTGAATTCCCTCACCCTCCCGCACTTCCGACTGTACCCAGTGCTTGTATAAATAAATAATCTTTAAAAAAAAAATATATGGGGCCTCCCCCGTGGCGCAGCGGTTGAGCGCTGGGTTGCGAAGCTGCCCGCAGCCTCTGCAGCACTGGTTCGATCCCTGGCTGCTCCCCGGCCACCAGAGGAGGGTCCCACATGGCGCGCAGACCTCTCCTGCCGCCCGCTGCTCCCCTCAGCAGTGTACTTCGGTCCTTCTGCCTGCTCTGCTCCCCGCTCTGGCTCTGGTGAATTCTCTCACCCTCCCGCTCTTCTAACTGTACCTAGTGCTTGTATAAATAAATAAATAAATCTTAAAAAAATATATATATGAAAACACTGGAAAAGACATGTATCTCTATGAGCATCTCTTTGAGGTGGTTCTGGGAGTGCCCACGTGAATTTTATATTTGCCACAGAGACTATATTTTAAGTTAGATACCTTAACCCTCCAGATTTGATGAGTTTCCAATCATTTTCTTATAATGTAGGGAAAATACAAAAAAGCAAATAGGCATTCTAATGTGTATGAATTATTGTATATTTAGGACTAGTAATAATTAAAATATGCTAGATTTATCCCCCACCATAATTTAACCTGTATCCAAAAAAAAATTTCAAATTGAAAAAAAATTTTTTTCAAACACGTTTATCAAGATTAAGCACTTGAATTAACTTCTTTGGGAAGATGTCACCAACTTTACCAATCTTTTGACTTTTTTTTCTTGTGGTAAAATATACATAAAATTCACCATTTTAACAACAAAACTCGATGACACTAAGTATTTTTACAGTATTGTTTCACCATCATCACAATTTCCAGAATTTTTTCATTATCCCAAACAGAATTTCTGTGTGCATTAAGCAGTAACTCACTACCCCTCACACTTGGACCTCTCTGTTCTACTTTTTATTTCAAGAAATTTGCCTATTCTAGATATTTCATGTAAGTGAAATCATATACTATTTACCCTTTTGTCTGGCTTATTTCACTTAGCATAATGTTCTCAAGGTTCATCCATATTGTAACATGTATTACTTATTCCCTAAAATGCTGATCTGTCCATAAATGTAAGTGGAATGTTAAATTCCCTATTATTTTCCTGTCATCATCTCTCTTTAATTCTACTAGTAATTGTCTTATGTATCTTGGTGCTCCATCATTCATTGCATATATGTTATTTTTCTCTTGTATTAGGCCCTTAATCATAATGTAATGTCCATCTCTATCAAATTATTACCATTTTTAATAATTTTTTAAAAAGATTTATTTGTTTGTTTGTTTATACATACAAGCACTGGGTACAGTCAGAAGTGCGGGAGGGTGAGAGGATTCACCAGAGCCAGAGCGGGGAGCAGAGCAGGCAGAAGGACCAAGGTACACTGCTGAGGGGAGCAGCGGGCGGCAGGAGAGGTCTGCGCGCCATGCGGGACCCTCCTCTGGTGGCCGGGGAGCAGCCGGGGATCGAGCCAGGGATCAAACCAGCGCCGCATAGGATGTGGGCAGCTTTGCAACCCAGTGCTCAACTGCTGCGCCACTGGGGAGGCCCTTATTACCATTTTTAATTGGGAGTCTATTTAATCTGATACAAATATAGCAGCTCCTGACTTTTTTGCCCTGTCATTTTTTTAAAGGTTTATTTTTATTTATTTATGGGGTGTAGGCCAGAGGTGTGGGAGGTGAGAGGATTCACTAGAGACAGAGTGGGGAGCAGAACAGGTGAATCTACTGAATTATGCTGCTAAGGGGAGCAATGGGTGAGACAGAAGTCTCCTGTGCCATGTGGGTTAGCTCCCTGGCCACAGTGGCTGGTGATAGCTTGATAGCACCAAGACTCTCACCCCTGGTGCCACCAGGGAGGCCCATGATTGTCATTTATTTATTTGTAGGATAGTCCTCCTACCTTTAATTTTGTGTTTGTCTTTGCTGCTGAGTTTTTATAAATAACTTAGGTGACTGTACCTCTATTTGTTGTTCTGTTGCTTTACAAAAACCTCATTAGTACTTCTATCATGGACAGCTTGGTTTTGATAAATACCTTTAGTTTTAAATTGTTAATGAAGCTCCTTATCCTTCCTCTATCTTGAACATTATAATCATGCAGGGTAAAGGATACTATCCTTCCTCAATATAATCATGCTGGAAATCTTACTTTGAGGACTTTAAGTATTTCCTGACATTCCCTCCTTGGCTGTAGTGTTTCTACTGAAAGGTTCACTGCAGTTTAATTGGTGTTCCCTCATGGGTTACACTTTTTTTCTTCATGTTTTCAGTATTCTGTCTTTGCTATTAGTTTTCAACCGTTTCCTTATGTCTTGTGATCTGTCTGGTATTACTTTGTTT